CCATCACAGGGATGTTTACCAAGGCATTAAACAACAACCAGAGGGGAAAAGGGAGAAAAATACAGGATGCTGGATTGATGCAGAGTATTCAGAAATCCAAAATCTGTACCACCTGGCCTTAAGGGCCAGGAACACTAGAGACACGCTCTTATGCAGCCTAGCAAGGATTTTTATACTTTATCATGGACATGGGTCTGTGAAACAAGATGATGGACTCACTAGAGGAATAAAAACATTCTGTCACTAGACTAGTTCCCTACTGACCCAAGAAACTATTGAAAAATGACGATATTTATTTCACTCTTTGCTACACAAAAGAAGATTTGGCAGAAGCCAGTGCTAAAAAGGACACAGGCAGTAGTAATTCCTTCTCTCCTACCTTCAGAAAATGCAAAAAGAAAGTGGTCATTGCTTCCTTGTTACTAACATACCTCGCCAGGCATGCACAGAGACAAGTCTGGATGCCCACAGATTTCAATGCACCTCCCTTAAAAGAACTTGCAATCTTTTACAAACAATTCCCAGCACATCTCCTACCCTGGATGCTTCTCGCTTCATCTGAATTTGGACAACATCTAGCCTATAATTACTAAACCTATAGGCATGCTAAGAAAGTGGCAGGAAGATGCCCAGTAGACTTTCAAAGTCACCTCTGGGAGCCAGACACAAAGCTTCCACTACCCACAAGAGGGCTGGGCTGTTCAGTTAAACCCTCTGAGTGAGCTTTAGTTCTAAAAGTCTCAGCCCACTGGTGGAGAACAGCAAGGTCCCCCCCAACAGAGAAACTAGAAAAGGCAGATGTAGGATGGAGCAACCAGGAAGAAATTATCGGGGACGCTACTTACCTAAGCAAGAAGGTGATAAGACAGGGAACAGAGGGGGTTTTTTTACAGAGGAAATCACAGGAACAAACAAATAACGGCACTATTCTGAAACCACTCTGAAATGTCTTATGTGTATTGTACTAATCTGTCAACATCAAGACTTGACAATACTGGGTTGCAGTGACACAGCAGTGCAAGGTTAATACAGGGATGTCACACCTTGCTTATGTTGTATTCCTCTCTGGTTCAACTCAATCATGAAATTGCCCATCAGCTTTTCAAGGCTGAGTACCAACACTCAGGCCATTACAGATCTGCCTGTTACGATAAATCCTCCACCTGATATTAAACCATCTGGTCTAATTGCTACTGACAACCGACAGCAAAAATTCAGTTTTATCACCAAAAATTAACATTTTCGGCAAAAAGCTGTATATGATGCACGGTGGAATAGAAGTTACAAATTAACACTGCCAGAGACGCTGTCTAATATTCAGTTCAACCACAGACAGCTGAAAACAAATAGCGAACTACATCACTGGCAGTGGGATATATTTGGCTACAACGTACAACAAAACCCCTTAATTCAGGGGCGGGTGTGAAGAACAGACATCCCAATAGCGCTACAGCTGAAACATGGATGAATGCGAAGGATAAACACCAAAATTATGTAAAATAGGAAAAGAGAACAGGGGAAAAGTAGAAATAAGAAAGGAACTATTAGGGCAGCTTCTCGGTCACTCTGAAACTTCCTTCCACCGCTTTCACAGCATAAATGTGCGGTACAGTGAACTCCACACGAATCAAGAGTCCTGCCATGCTGCCCACTGTATAGGTGGCTTTCTTGTACATGAGAATCAAATGCAAGAGACCCCCACATTACAGCACAGAAGTGGTTTATCAAAGGAAATTCAGCCAAACAGTTTGCATTTGCTGAGGGAGCTACCCATTTATTTATGTGGCCAGTGAGCTGGGGAAGAGCTGTTTACTCCCATTTTAGAAATGAGATACACAGACCAGCCTGAGGTGCAGTAAGGACATTCTGACAGAGATGGAATCTAATCCCAGGCTAGCACTTTCAGCACTGAAGTGTCCTCTCCCAATTGCCTCTCTGTCCACGTGGATGTTACTAACTTACTGTGATGCCATGATGTTATGAGTAACCAAACACCAATTAAGGCAGGAAAAAAAATAAAAATCACTAACCTCCTTTCATTCTGGGTTATTGTTCCATTCTCCAGCTTTTTAACAGTTGATGCTAGAACCTTGTTTGCATCATTGGCAAAGTCCAAGTCTCTGACCTCAGACAGAGGAACCGATACAATGGCAAAAGCTTCTTTGTCCTCTTTTGTTTGGCACGTCCCAATCTGCAATAATTTTTGGTTTAATATAGGTAAGCAAGCCTCTTACCTTTATCCTAATTATTATGCATATTTTGTATTTTAGAAGTGAGATCACCAGTAGAGAACTTCAGGAATGAGTTTGTGATTTCAATCCCAAGACATACGTGTTTACCTTTAACATCACAGGCCTCTCTTCATCAGTGTCTATTGGAATGCTGGTACTAGTGACCCAAGTGTTAGTGCATAAATGCCTCAGTCGGACATACGAATTCCTAAATGAGAGCAAAACAAACAACAGGTTAGATGGATCAGTCCTGAGCTGAAATGGGCAAGGTGGGATGCAATGCAGTACGTGGCCATGACATGAGACCAGAGGGCGTGAGTCACACCAGCCACTCGTCATAAAAGGGTGAGAGAGACCTAAAAGATACTGCAGTACCCTTTTCCCTTGTCTCCTCCTTTCTCACCCATAACAGAGCTGCAACAAGAACAACATCTTGGGATTATGCAGAATGCTGGTTTTAAGTATTTATATAAGCCTAGAAGTAAAGTATTCCTCAAAGAAAAAAATTAAAAAGGAAGGTGTTATAAAATCCCAGCTGAATAGAAATACATTTCATGAATAAAACCAATTCTTTTCTTATTTTTTTCTGCAAAGTAACGAACCCTTTCAATCTGTCACAGCACAAAAGCCAGAAAGTAAAACTGACCATGGTTTCACAGCTTCACCATTATGATCTGCAAACCCTTGTTCCAGGGAGCAAGCATTAAAAGTACCAGTTCTCAACTGAAAATCAAGTGAACAAAGAGCAGACATGAGATTCTTCTAAATTCTTTCCATATGATAATCTGTGGTATTATCAAAAAGCAGAGCTGAGAAATCAATTACAATTTTTACTCTGAATTCCACTTTTTAAATATATTCACTGTGGTCTTCATTCACGCTCTCCCTTTCATGCCGATGGGCTTTGAGTATTCAAGTAAGCAAATTATCTGGCAAAACTTAGCATAGCAAATACACTTCAAAGCTGAACACATCAGTATTTGCGGGTACCCAGCTTTAAAATCCACCCTCATAACAACTAGCCCCAAGTGTCTGCATGCCCATTCAGTCACCACCAACACCGTGTGACTTATCTAGCCAATCTCAGCTAAGCAACACAGTTGAAATTTCACATATTCACAATTAAAACCCAGAAGCCACTTGCTGAATTCATTTGAATAACAAATGTGTTCAGTGGCATCGTGATCTGTCAGGGAAACGGAAGCCCAGTTCACCATACACATTATTTTGTTGGGAACAACTCAGTTAGATCTATTAGCAGTACAGTTCTTTCAAACAGTGTGCAGGGCTCAATTCTGTCCTCATATATATCTGTGCAATATTTAGCCCATTATTTTTCTTTTCACAGGCTTTCTTTAAGTGTCACTTGTTTCATCCTTATAATTATTTTACCCAGTCACAGCAGCAGTATCATGTTTTATACATCCCTTGTTTATCCATGAACACTCCTCAAATTTTAACTGAAGGATAATACTTGCTCGTGTTTGATTTTTTCTGCTTTACTCACCAGCATAATGCTAGGAAGAAACCCTGTCAATGCAGCACTACTTTTTTCTTCCCCCACTCACCCCACCAACCAC